AGAGAGAGAGAGAGCAGGAGACGAGGACACGAGCAGAGACGAGAGAGAGAGAGGAGAGAGACGAGTGAGAGAGAGGAGACGAGAGAGGGCACGAGAGAGAGAGTTGAGAGGAGGACGGAACGAGAGCAGAGAGAGGGGGGCGCAGCGGCGGGATGGACGGAGAGGAGAGAGAAGGAGGGGAAAAAAGATGGAGAGTGAGAGAACAGACTCTGGTGGAGAACGGAAGACGAAGAGGAGAGAAGAGAAGAGCGAGAAGTGAGAGATGAGAGAGGGAGAAGGAGAAGAGAGACGAGACTGAAGAGAAGAAGGAGGTGAGGTATAGGAATCAGGGCCGAGGGAGAGAGGAGCAAGCGGTGGGGCCCCGGGAAGAGGAGGAGAGAGATGAGAGAGAGAGACCTGAGAAGAGAGAGAGAGAGAGAGATAGAGAGAGAGACGACTGTGAGAGAGAAATGTGAGGTCCCGCCGGAGGGTGACCACCCGAGGGGGGGCACGGGGTGGGGCGAGGGAGGAGAGGGGCGAGGGGAGGGAGGAGGGAGGAGGCTGTAGGGAGGGAGGGAGGTGAAGAGAGAAAGAATGAGAGATAGGAGAAAGAGAAAGAGAGAAGAGGCATAGGGAGAAGGCGAAAGGGTGTTAGAGAGGAGGAAAGAGAAAGAGAGAGGAAAGGAGAGACGGGAGAAGAGAGAAGAGCAGTGCAGAGTGAGGAAAGCATGAGTGAGAGAGAGTGATGAGTGAGAAGAGAGAGAAAAATGCAGAAGACTGAGACGAGACAGAGACAGCGATGGAGCAGAGAAGATGAGAGAGAGAGGAGGAGAGAGAGAGAGAGAGAAGAGGGGAAGGAGCCAGACGAGGAGAATAGAGAAGAAGAGAATAAGAGAAGAGAGGAGAGAGAGAGAGAGTAGAGAGAAAACTGATTAATTTATAATTTTATGTAATGCACTCAAACTATTGGACATGCATTTTACAAACACCAAACACAAGTAAACATAAACATTGAAGTGTCAGCTTATTCGGATTAAAAAGGGAAATTAGATTGGATGCATAAGCAATCTGAGAAACTTAATGCAATGACAGAAAAGATACATATAGGTATAGTCTATGATTATTTTTTTCTTATTGTATGAAGACAGTAGAGTATTTTGCCTTATGTATCAGCTTTAATATATGTACACATGGAAGAAGAACCAAAATTGCAGTGGTCTTTCCCGAATTTCGGAATAACAATCG